GGGCCAGTGAGGGCCTGCCTGCCTTCCCACATCAGGAGAGAGCTCCCTGCAGTTCAGCAAAGGAAGTTGAGTCCATGGACCCAAAGTCTGGGCTCAGCACTGTCCCTTTCCACCCTCCTTGTCCCCACCCCTCACTAAACAACTGGCCTAGGCCAGTCTTGCTTCCAAGACTATGGAGGAAAAGGGAGACAACAGAGTGTGATTGAAAATAGAAAGTGTGTTGTGTTCTCCACTTTGGGGCCATGTCACTTCTTCCCTTAAAAGACAGCACTCTCCCCCAGTTCGTCTTCACAACCCCTACTATAGGAAGACAAGTATTGTGCCATATTTGCTGAAGGCCTTGTGGCACGTTAGGCAGGGCCCCAGCAAAAGCCCAACTGACAAGTGACTCTACCCTCCACCTCAGTGTTCTCATCTGTAAAACCATCACTTTGAGTGCTATGATCTGTGGGTTCTCTCCAGCATTAACACTCTTGGATCAATACCTAGACCATTCCTGGGGAGACACTAGGACTGAGCTGAGCCAAGTGGCCAGGTAAAAAAAAGACACTTTGTCTCTCACTGAGGTTTTCAGTAGCTCCTCTGGATTTATATATATATGTATATATAAAAGGCATCATAATAGAAATCATGGAAAGAAATGGAACCGGAAACACAAGTGGGAGATCTTCTGGATATGGGGCAGTGGGGAGTAGAAGCTTAGAACCAGCTTCCTTGTTTATTTCCTTATTTATTTTTGCAAATATGCAATAAATCTCATTGTTTTGGAAAACACATCCAGATTGCCATTTAAGGATGTTCTCTGGGGACTGGAACTTTTGGATCAGCATAGTAAAAATGCAAAACAAAAACTCAGACAAAACCCTTCCAAATTGCCTCCTCGTCTCTCACCACATCCAACCTCCCTCCACCCTCCCCCTTCACTTCTGCTCCCTGTTGGTCCCTCACTGGTACCTGGTCTGTTTATGGAGTTCTTCCAGTTTCTGGGTGCAGTGGGCTTGGAATGTGTGCATCCCTTCTCCGAAGTATCGATGTTCGATGCATTAAATAACGCAAAGTTTCAAAGGCATTGCTCAGGTACAAAGTAAAAACTACAGATAAAAATCACCTTCCTTTCCTGCTAGCCATCTCCCCCTCCTGTGCCCCCCCACCCCTTATTGAGGGGCCCAGGGCTTCTGTTGGGATTCCTGCTCCCATGCCCTTTGCTGTAACTCTCATAGTGACCTCTGCCTCCTAGGTCAGCCTGGTCCTCCCTCTGCAGCTGCAAACCCACCTGTCTGCTCAAATCCAACCCAAGCCCCAGCACTGACTGGCAGCTGCTCCAACTTAAAATCCAAGTCCCCAAGGAATGCCATGGAGCTAGGGGAAGGAGAAGGGGGGGAGAGTGAGAGGGAGGGAGAAGAAAAGAGAAATATGGTAGAAAATGAGCTCTCACTGTGGCCAACTGTCCTTGCGCTTCCAGTCTGAGCTGACACAGCAGAAAGAGGGGGCGGGAGGCAAGAAAAGTCAAGTTAAAAGCACCATCTCTTGTCTTCCCTGCTCCCACTTTGGTTGGCTCAGGACACAGCCAGCCTCTCAAAGGCTTATTTCAAAGGGAGGGTGTGCGGGTGGGAAAGGAATTTGGCTCCTTTGGTTTTCCATGATCTTGTTCAACCAAGACACAATCTGGCCAATAAACCTAACTCCAGGGCTTGACTTCAACATGGCATTTGGACCAGGCTTGGAGAGGATGCCAGGGTGATGGACGCCAAACATCTCAGAGAAGCAAAGACCGAATTTATTTTTACTTAGGTAATATTTTTTCGTTCCCAGGTCATATTATCTGTCCTCTCTCTCTTATTTCTCAATGACAGAACTAAAACTCAGAACCCATTTCTCCCTGTAACCCAAGCTTAATGTCTCATGCGCTCAGGAGAGATCTCCCAGAACGGGGCAAGTATGTATTTCGCCCTCCTGTCCAGAAAGCCACAAGGGTCCTTCTCCAAACAATGCCCAAGCAAAGCCCGGTGCTTCCTTGGCTGGACCCAGCTCACCCATATTTATTGAGCTTGGATCAATAAATAGCTCCCGTCTCCCGCCTCCCTCCAGCCTCACGCACACTGCTCTCTGTTTCTATATCTATCTTTGCCCCAGAACTGGCCAAAATAAAATGCAGGGCCCAGTGTGCTCTCAGCACCCAATTCCCGGGCAGAGCAGACTCGCTCTCGCGTTGCTCAGCAACGCGCCCAGCAAAACACCAGTCTGGGCCCGCCAGCCCTCAGCTCTTCCTCCCAGCAGCTTTGGCTGCCTGCCAGCTCGCTCTCCTCAGCTCCCCGTTTCGGATTCTGGAAATGCTCAGTTTCTTTTGGTCAAAAAAAGATATGTATCTATATCCATATCTTTCTTCCTTTATGCATATATCTTTTGACTTAGGTGTGCGCATATATATGCATATCCTCTCTGTCTGTATGGCAACCGCAGGAGAGAGAGGCAAAGCCAACTTCTCACTGATGACTTTGGTAAGGAGACATGGTAGTGGGGTGTTGAGGAGCAGAATTTTTGGTCAAGGGAGCTGACACTCTCCTCCCTCTCTCTGGTCATTTCCTTCTCTTTATGAACCCTCTCTGCACCATCTCCAACTTTTGGGGGACCCACGCAACAGTTTTCGAGTTGAAAGGCTCGAGGCAGGAGCGCCTACTATCGTACTGTCTTCCGGGAGGAAGGGGTCAGCTCCTGTTGCCATCCTGTAACAATGGTTGGTCAGGCACCTGCCAAAGAAGGGGTGGAATCCCAAGAAAGTCTGGGGTGGGGAGGGGAGGCACCTTGAAGGTGGGGGTTGAAGAATGGGCGGAAGAGAAGTCTAAAGGGCATCTTGCTTGGGACAAAAACCGATGTGTGTGTGTGTGTGTGTGTGTGTGTGTGTGTGTGTGTGTGTGTGTATGTTATGTTGAACTGGAAAGTTGGATGATGAGCCAATTTGCTCTTCCAAGCAATTGCGCGCGCGCGCGCGCGCGCCTTGCGCGCACACCCTCCACACCAACCACATCACACCAACCACACGGTTGGGCAAATAAAAGCGGGGCCAGAATGCGGCTGAGTGATACCTTGCATACTTTCGATGTGACCGGATTATTACCCAGAGCGCTCGCTTCCTAGTCAGGAAATCGATTCATGCCTTTTCTCCGCCCGTCCCCCAACCCCGTCCCCTCCCCGCCCCCCACCGCCTACCTCCCCCCTCCGCCACCGCCCGGTGCTAAGCTCTTCCAAATCCACATCCCCGAAGATGAGGGCGGCCAGGACCGCCTTCGAAAAGTGGCTCTTAATAAAAATAACTCCACAAACCGGCCTCTAGGGCCTCCGGGGCCTGCGCGTCGCACTCTGCTCCTTTTTGGCAGGCTGCGGTCTGGAGGACCACTGCCTCTCGAAAAGTGGGGGGCGGCTGAGGGCGACAGGCAAACCCTGCAAGCTTTGTGGGGAATCCAGGCTGAACCCAGGAAAGTTCTCCTGCCCCTTCTCAAGCGCTGACGCACTCTTACCCGGCGCGATAGTGTGCAGTTTGTAGTTACGAAAACTCATATTGGGGTGCCCTAATGGACGGGATGGGAGGGGCAAAAAGGGCTTCGCTCCAGTGGGAAACTACACAGAGCGAACATTTAGCTAAGTCTTAAGCCCTTTTGGGGAGGATTAATAACCAGACTGACGTTTCAGAGCCCAGATTTTCGTGTAGAACTCATTAGACTTAAAAAAAAAAAGTGAGATCAGGTAAATCCAAAGGAGCCACATTTTAAGGAAGGAGGGGGGTTAGAACTGTTCTGATCAGAACAAGCAGCTCTGTTAACTTTTTAAACCTTCGACTCCAGACGCAGAGAATTTGGGGGCGGGGCCACTCGGGGGCGGGGCCACTTGGAGGCGGAGGGGAGGCTCCCGGAGCGCGGCTTTTCGGTCTCCGCCCAGTTGATTTTGCATTCTGTGTTTCCAGGGCCCCTCTAGCATTTACACCACACCCACTTGTGATCCAGTTTGAAAGACTGAGGTGGTGGGGGGTGGGGGGTGAGATTAGCACTGGCGGGGAAGTTGCGATGTCTGAGTTCTATATCCCTTCTTGCCCCTATATCCACCTTTCTTCCTAGGTAAAATCTGAACTGGGGCGGGGAAAAAGGAATTAGATTCAGGGACCAACACTCAACAGGGGAACAGAAATCCTTCTTTCCTATTCCTCTCAGGTCCCCCCTCTCCCCTCCACCCCTCCCTGCCGCCGCCGAGCGTGCTAAAGTAATTTTATCCTTCCCGGAAGGAAAAAAAGGCATTTGGCATTTTAAGATGTTTTACCCTATGCCACAAACAATCACACCGAGTCAAGAGCGATGGGTGTGCACGTGGGAGGGGCATAAAAGCCCCCACCCTAAAGGCGTTAGCTTTCAAGCGTTTCTGCGTGTGTGTGAGGGCGCGAGTGGGTGTAGGGATAGAGGGGAAGAAACGCCAGTACGGACTGGTAGGGGGCAGGGGCAGGGGCTGGAAGGGACAAAGGTGGAATCACCACAGAAGACCGGTAACGCCTCTCTCTCCAGGTTCCCAGTTGAAGCAATATTTTAACAAAGAGATTTTTTTTTTCAAGTTTAGAAAAAAACCCATATTGGGTAGGTGGGTAGGTGCGTGGAGGAGGAAGCTGATACAGGAACACGCACCTTCTGAGACTGGAAATTAAGTACCTAGGGGCTTGGACCTGGAGACCAAATGCCCTCAGAGCCAGTATTCAGAAGGAGGGGGAGGAGGTGGGTGGGGAAGGGTGGGGGTAAGGGCGAGGAGAAGGAGCGAAAGCTGCGAGAGGCACGGGTAAGAAAGCAGCCCGGGGTAGCTGGATCCGTCAGGCTCTAATTCCGAGGTGCAAGGACCCTCCCCGCCCTCCTCCCGGGCTACACCCCGGCTCCAAGCCACTTGCTGGCCCAAGCGCGCGGGGCCAGCCTGCCCTGTGTCCCCCGGCCGTGCGCCGCCTAACTGACTGGCACACTGAGCGCGCTCACCGATCTTGGCTTGCTCGCGGTAGCTCTTTTCGTTGAGGCAAACCCCGCGGCCGTGCAGCAGGGCGTGCAGCGGCTTCTCCTCGTCCTGCCGGGGGAGGCAGCGCAGCCCCTGGGCGCAGCGCTCAGTGTAGACGCCGCAAGACTGCCCCTCGGCCAGGGCGCAAGTCATGCAGCAACCGCAGCCCGGCTCTTTGACCAGCTCGCAGCCCAGGGGGCTGGGGGGGCACATGGAGAGGGCTTTCTCGTCGCAGGGCTCGCAGTGCACGAAGGAGCCCAGGCCCTGGGCCGGCCCCGCACAGGAGGCCAGCAGCAGGAGGACCGCGGTGAGCACCATCTTCTCCGAGTCTTCCTCTTTACCTTAGGGCGGGACACGAGAGCGAGCGTGTAGGGAGAGAGGGGCTAAGAGGGCGCCTGGAGAAATTAAAAATTTTTTTTTTCTGGCAGGTAGAGCAGGTGCCCTCCCCCAGACAATTGCAAAACGTAGGGAGAGATGGAGGGCTGAGGTGCCTGCCGGCAAGTCCCAACTGCAAGGATTAAAGGACTTGCAACAGGTTGGGGGGAAAAGAGCCGCGCCAGGTGCACGCGGAGGGAGTGGAAGCCGTAGAAACAACCCCTCCCCCAAGCCAGACCCGCTCAGAATTACAGGGAGGAAAAAGCCAAAAATTGTTCACCCCAAAGCAACCACCGGAATAATGAGCTCGGAGGCTGTGGAGAAGGGAGTGGGGGGGGGGAATGGGGCTGTCTGCAAAAATTTTGTTTAAAGTCTAAAATGCACCCTGCTCCTTTCTAACCTGCAGCTGCCTGCAGCGCGCCGCTGCCGGGGAACAGGTAAGCGGCGGCTGCGGTGTCCGCGAGAGTGGGGGAAAATGTCGAAATCAAGAAATTTAAAAAAAAAAAAAAAGGCCCAAATCCCAAACCCTAACACCTCTTTGCTCCCACTCTGCCACCACCTCTTCGAAATTTGCAGGTTCTCCGTGAAGCTCGAAGAAGGGTGCAAACGGAAGAGGGGTAATTAAAAGGAGCAAGAAAAGAGAAAGAAATCCCACACCGATTTGCCCCTTTCCTAGCTCTTTTCCCCGGCAGAAGTTTCCAAAGAGACTACGGGCTCCGGTGGAGCAGGCGCTTTTAAATAGACGGCCCCTGGCCTCCAGCCAGTTTGTAGCTGCTATTTGAGCTCCCCAACACCCAACCCAGGCGAGGATGCCAAGGAGCTTTGCAGTACAAACTCACACGGGGTGGGGGTGGGGAGAGGCCTTCTAGACACACGGGGGCTCCCCTGAGCTCCCGGAACAGTGCCCCCCTCCCCCCGCAATGTAAGAAAGGGGGTTGGGGGACAGGGCTGGGCTGCCTACGAGGGAGGGGGGGAGTGCGAGTATAAGGGAGAATTGGAGGAGCTGGTGGACACAATGAAGACTAACTGGTCTCCCCCTCCCTCCCACCCCTTAACTAGCCAAGGCCCAGGCTGCAGGGAGAAGCATTTTCTTATTAGCCAAGTGGATATATACAGTGCCCAAGAAATTCTTCCCAAGCTTTGGGAAATGGCTGTCTGCTGGTGTCTAAGTTACTGTGTGAGGGGTGTGTGTGTGTGTGTGTGTGTATGTTTGAAGGGGAGTGTTAGTGTAGGATGGCCAACTGAGGGTAGTGAGCTGAATTAAAAAGAAAGGGGGAAAAAAAAAAAGAAAAGCAAAATTGGATTCCCCCCCTAAAAGCCCAGGAAAGGGGATTTAATTAAGAGCATTTCTCCTGCCCCTGGAGTGTGGAGTGACTGTCTTTGGTCATATGATAAAGAGGTGGCTACTTTCCTTCAGCTCCATTGTTGGCCCAGGGAGGTTTTGTGTGTGTGTGTGTGTACACGCACACACGTCTGCGCACTTGCTCAAGCTTGTGGGTATCTGTGTTGTGTATACTTGTGGGAAGGGATACTCATTCAACAGCATTGTAGGGAGCAGTAAGTTTCAGATACTAGTGCTTCCCAGAAGATGCTAAGTCTGAAAATCTTGCCTGGTGACCTAAGGTACCCTGGTGTGGGGTTTTGGGATGGAAGAAAGGCAGATTGGGGTGATACCTTCCCTTCACATTGGTTTACTGGAGCATTTCTACTGGGTAGGGCCACATCTCTGGAGGGAGTGGTGACAGACCAGAGGTGCACCATGTTACAAGGCTAACTGGCAGGCACAGGTACATCTCAGGACTGAGAGCTGACAGGGCCGTGGGACTTGTTCTGAAGAGATCCTGACCAGGGACATCACTATTCTATTTGAAACCTCAGGCAACCTCTTCAAACACTATTGGGTCCCTGCTTTCCTTAGTGAAACAGAATGAAAGCTAAAGTCTTAAAGGAAGGAAGGTGGTGATTTCCCTTTGTTTCTGAAATCCACATGGCTGGGCTGTGGACTTTACAGCCCGATCAGAGAGAAATGACTTGTCCTTGCGGCCCCATTTGGGAGGACCTGGGGTGGGATTTCACCCCTTTTACATTTCCTTCATCTCTTAGAAGTGCTCTCACTTTCCTTTGGAAAAAGGGGCTGCATTTCATGAAGTTTGCCACTAGACTGCACCCTTATCAATGATAAGAATTCTGTCTGTAGGACTGCTTTTAAGAAAATATTTCTCTTGCTGGTTTGGTTCGGGAGCATCTCACTGTATGCTGTTAACATTCCCAGATCCTGATCTTCCTGCTTGCTTATCTGTTTGCTGAAAGGCACATTTTAAAAGAGAGCTCAAGCTTAAAGTTGCACTTTTATTTGTATTGCCAGAGGGGTTTTAGGTGTTGGCTGGGTGAGGGAGGAGGAGTTGTGTGTAGTGATTAAAAAAACCCCAAAAAACTAAAAACCAACAAGACCCTGAACAACCTCTCCTCCCCCCAAACTGCAAGACCTGTTTGCATTGCTTCTCCCCTCTGTCTGGGGGCTTGGAAAGGTAGGGGGAGAATTAGTATTCAAAAATTTGGTTGAAATATTTCAGGAACCATGGGGATCACGTTATTTTCCCTTTTGTGTCAAGTTCAGACTGGAAGAGTGGCCCAACAGTGTGCGGTGTGTGTTCTGACCCCTGCTCCTATTTCTGCACCAGCTCAGCAGCAAAGCTGACTCCAAGCACACTGGTAGCATTTAAGATGAATGGGGAAATTGTGGTGCTCCTTCCAGAGAAACATGAGTTGCTAGTTCCAGCCACCCTCTATTCTGAGAGAGACAGCCTCCAGTGACATGTCTTTTTGTCTAGCCAACTTCCAGTGGCTGGAAAATAAAATGTGTGAGGACAGGTAGAAGAAAGAGGGGGATGATTCATGCAGAAGACGAAAAAGCCTATGGAGAGGAGGAAGAGGTAGTGGCTGGAGCTGGTCCTTGGGGTAGCACGCAGAGGGGCCGTGGAAGGCGCGTACTCTGCAACCCTGTAAATGTGAAGTGACCATTCCGTGTGTCTGCTTAGAAATGAGCCTAAGTCATGAGGGGTTGAGAGCTGCTAGGACAGAGCTGCTCTTCTGGGGACCTCAGGCAGGCTTCTGAAAACACAAGAGAAAGAATTCTTGGTAGCCTGGGGCTGTCTACTGTGATTTTTTTTTTTTTTCCAAAGATGGGACTGACCAGTTGGGTTTGCTTGCACGAGTCCATACGTAACATAAGAGAGTAGAAGAGAGGTTCTGGTATGTGATGTTGGATTATGGGGCATGCCTATGGGCCTTTCTCCATTCTGTTTCCTTCCTCCCCTCCACTCTGTAGACCTAGATCTGTTCACAATCACCTTTGGGGAAAAAAAAAAATTGCATCAATGAATTTAGCTAGGAGGGGCTCATTTATTTCTGCCAAATGCAAATGTCAGAGGTCCGGTTCCCTTCCCTCCTTTATTGCTGACGTGCTTTCCCTGCCATGAGCTTCCCAACTCTGCTTCCCACCCTGCCATGTCCGAGTTTTGATGCTTTCAACCACATTTTTCTTGGAGAAGTAAGAAGTTAAATATCATCCACTGTGTCTCATCCCCTAGAGATCACTCCTCCCCATTCTTTTAAAAAACTAACTACATATCGAAACCAAGTCTCAAGAAATGCAACCAAGTAAAAGATTTATGCTTTTCTATGGACAACTTTCAAAGGATGAGTAACATTTTTATTTTATAAAGCTTGATTATTTTCTGTTGAGTTTTTAAGTGATTTTCAAGGCAAGGGTGACACCTGATAACACAGTTTGGAAAAACTGGACTTTTAATATGACTTAAAGTATCATGGGTTCCTCTAGTTGGAAAGGAAAAATGTCAGCTAAGGGTCTGTCTTCATTCTTTTCCTTTGCAATACTCTCCTCACGGCCTGAGACAGACTTGCCAAAACCATTCCCTGTGCTGAGTAATTACTCTGTGTTAAATATCTTATGAGATTGACATCAGTCCCTTTCCCAGAGACCAGCACACATCAGGCATACTGATGCTGTCACTTCATCTTAGTTTAAAATGAAGGTATGGTCACCTTTAAGAAATAAAGCACCTGGTCGCTCGGGTTCCTCCCCAGGTAAGGGAAGTTAGCAAGACTGAGGTCTCTGCAGAATGTTTAAGGCAGCTCTGTTGTAGTGATGAGGCTGAAGGCTAGGTGGCAGAATAGATACATCATTTCAAACACGCCTCCTTTCTCCAAGGGAAAGAAGCAGACGCTGGTGGAAGTCTTTAGCAACAGGGACAGGGGTTGGGAGCGGGGGGAGCAAAGGCACCGATGGAGGGCTACATCAATACCCTGTGGGTCCTCTGTACATCCCCTGGCCTTGGCACTGCCCTTTGCCATGACAGCACCGATCCAGTGGAGGAGGGCAGCTTCCAAGTCCCACCAGCAGCTATATTCATGATCACTGTACCTTGGAGACAGGTAGGGCCAGGTCAGAGCTTGATTACTTTGTGTTCATCAAAGAATGTCCTGAAGCTTCTCTGATGAATAATTAGAATATGACCTTCAGCCAAAGTGCATAAAAAGGCCCTCTAAAAAATTTTCAATGTTAATTATGGTATATTTCAACCATTCCAGGAGGAGAAGATAGTGTAGCAGATAGCCTCTACTCACCACACATGTTTAACGTGTTACCATGTTGCCATCCTTGTTTGAGATTTTGTTAAAAAGATCTACAGTGTTACAGAGAACATTTCCCCCCCCTTCCCCGCACACTCCCTCCCCTTCAGCCCCTGCCCCTTCTGTGCAGACGTAGCCACTCTTTTGAAAGAGCTTTGTATCTTTTTGCACAGCATTTTCCCTCGGTTTTACGTGAAGTTTCTTACAGAACAGAATTAGAACGATTTTGAGGGTGAAACCACAAGCTACTTAGAGTTAATTTTGTAGTGGTGCTTGGTATGGTGGCAATTTAACTACAGTCCACATTGACCCTAGGGCTGACTTTTGATGGAGCTGGAGCCAACTGTGACTCACAGGACTTATATTTCTATGTGAGCAATATGCAAGTTAATAGTTTTAAGAATTGATGCTTAGAAGGCTTCTGGAACCGTTCCAGAGAGATATGGCAGAATAGGGACAGCTCCATAAATACAGTTTCTGGATGGAGGCCTTCTTGGATCATGGGATCTGACATGTTTGTACAATGGACAGCCCTAGAGCTGTGTTTGAATTTTGGAAAAATGAGATTAACCAGAAAAAGTGATCTGTTGTGGTTTAAAAAAAACAGTGTTGGTAGAATCAGATCTGGGAGGGAGGGGGATGGGCTACATGGGGAAGATGGAATCACATGCGATAGGAGGAGAGAGAGAGAGTATGGTAACTGCTTGAAGCAGATGCAGCTGAGCCATGAAAAGGCCAAATAAAACCACAGTGCATGGTTGGAATCTAGGTTCCATTACAATTCAAGGGAAAGAAACCGTAAGAGCTAGTTTACCACCACTGGTCCATAGGGCAGATCTGTGTGATTTAGAAAAAGATACCCTTCCTCAAGACACTTTACATCTATTTGTCAGCAAGTTGTTATGAAATACAGACTTTGTTTGAATAAGAAACTTTACTCTCCCTTCCAGGAAATTGTCATAATGAATGCGCAATCTACGGGACTCTTATTATGCAGTACCCAACCTGCGAAACTATGTGGTAGTACTGGTTGGAAAAGTTGAGCCTGGGTTCCAAACCATTAGGAAACACTGTT